CGTGGATTTGCTTGGAAATCTGCCTCACGGTGTTTTGCTTCTTGGTTTTTGTTTGTTTATTTGACAGGCAGTGAGTATGTGTGTGTGTGACAGAGAGTGTGTGTCTAGAGGAGACAGAGAAGCAGAGGGGCCGATTTTTCACCTACTGGTTCACTCCCAAATGCCAACAGCTGGGCCGAGGCCAGGCTGAAGCCAGGAGGCATGAATTCTACCTGGGTCCCCTAAGCGGGTGGCAGGGACCTAAGCACTGGGAGCAACTTCTGCCCATTTTCCAGATGTATTAGCAGGCAACTGGATCAGAAGCAGAGCCGGGACATCACTCTGAGCTCCCACATGGGATGCCAGTGTTGGTAGCACTGCCCTGAAGTCCATGTGCACCTCCACCGTGCAGCGATCTACAAATCCCTACCATGTCCACTGAGAGCAGTTGATGTTGTGGTTCAGCTGGGCTCTGAGAAACAGCTCACCAATGTACATGTAGCAGCCCAGCCAAGTCCTACAACCTGAGGCTGCAAGGGCTGAGTCCCAGGGAAAGCCGAGGACACCCAAGACCTACACAGCCAGACCCAGCCTGTACATGGGGGCAAGTAGATCCCCATGAGGTTGGAGTGGATGTTGGGGGAGACTGGAGGAAAGTTATGGTACAGGATCAAGTTCAAGGTTAATCTGAAGAGGCAGATTTCTCAAAGTCAGTTCAGAAAAGGAGACTTGAAATAGAAGACCATGGGCCTGGTGCAGTGGCCTAGTAGCTGAAGTCCTCGCCTTGACCATGCTGGGATCCCATATGGGCACTACTTCTAGTCCCGGCAACTCCACTTACCATTCAGCTCCCTCCTTGTGGCCTGGGAAAGCAGTTGAGGACAGCCTAATGCCTTGGGGCCCTGCACCCACATGAGAGACCTGGAGGAAGTTCCTGGCTCCTGGCTTGGGCTCGGCACAGCATCGGCTGTTGCACTCACTTGGGGAGTGAATCATTGGACAGATCTTCCTCTCTGTCTCTCCTCCTCTCTGTATATCTGACTTTGCAACAAAAATAAATTAAAAAAAGAAGAAGAAGAAATGGAAGTGAAATGGTCCACTCATTATGTGGATTGGGGGAAACTGCACTTGGAAGGAAGCATAAAAAAAATGTGAGCTCCAAACACAAACTTGGTTAAGGAACAGTGCGACTCCATAAAAGGGTTTCTGCTCTTGAAGTCCCTTTAGCAGAACAAGATTCATTTCTGAGCTCCTGTTTGTCCTTTAGCTCCTGTGGCAAAGGGAGAATCACAGGCTAGCTTATGATTTGAATGTACAAGAGGAACTCAATGTTCGAATCAAGAAATGCTGGGCATGGATCATCTCAGGATTTGCCCTACGCAAGGGTGTACTGGGGGTGTGTTATGTGCTCCCGGCCAACCATTCAGCAGGAGGGAAAGAAGGCAGATGTTGGGGATAGAGGAAGTGGCAGGATTTTCCCCAACTTCCCCACATCCGTCCTGCTCCAGTATGAAGGCTGTGGCTTCCAGAGCTCCACCAGGGCCCCGAAGTCACGCCTGCCCTCTCCTTTTCCTGCCCCACCCTCTGCATGTGCCACCAACAGAGAAGTGAAGGAGTGGGGGACCCTGCCCCCAGCTCCCTGCTGTATGGCCTTGAGCCCCCACAAGGGACGAGGATATCAATGGCAGGGTGAGGGGCCACTTCCTTGAAGGGGAAATGGGCCTGGACAAGGACTCATTCCAGAATTGTCCAGGCTATTCCTGTACTAGGGCAAGGGAGGCCTCGGGCTTAGATCCCTTGTCCATACGCTCTTGAACTACGGATTGTTCTGCTTAATTCTTTCCCTGGGTTCTTACATTTGGATATTTTTGAAGTCTTTTGAGAATTTTTGCTTTAAAAAAAAAAAAAGGATGAAAGCCATAAGATATTCCCAGGAGGAAGATGCTCTTGTTGGCACACTATCAGCTTTTTGTCTCTGGGGGCGGGCCGCCATGAGACAGGGCGCGGTGGGTCCAGACATCTGCAACATGCCCTGGCATTGGGCCCAACATTGTTGAAAAAGTCTCAGAGGCGACACGGAGCACTTGGATATTTGGCCTCCCAACTGTCTTTGTTTAGATGTTCAAATTTGTTTAAATGTTTTCTCAAACAGAAACAATCAAAAAGGATTTCCCCCCCACAAAAAAACACATTCTTTCCCAACTTGGGCTGATAGTTTAAAATTCCACTTATTTATTTATTCATTTATTTATTTGTTTTATTAAGCATCACTGCAAGGATGTGAAATATGTAGGGCCAGTTGAAATTTAAAGTAATCCGGAAGTTTTGAGAACAGCTATAGTTATCTGTTGTTTGATCTGTTTGCTGGGTTCTGTTGTTTTGCATCCCTCATCTCACTTCATCTTTTATATGATCCTTTAAACTAAATATTACACTCCCTGCTTTATAGACAAAGAAGCTTAAGTAGGGTAAACTCCTTGAGCTGTCATCTGCTGGTTCATGTCCCAAATGGCTACAATAGCCAGGGCTGGGCCCAGGTGAAGCCAGGAACCTAAGAACTCCATTGAGATTTCCTGTGTGAACGGCAGGGACCCTGTTATTCGAGCCCTTTGTCACTGCCTCCCATGATGTACATTATCAAGAAGTTAGGTCAGAGCAAAACTGGGACCTGAGCTGAAACCCTTTCGTACGGGATGTGGGTTTCCCCAAGGGATCCCTTGGCTACTCCAAGAGCACACCCTGTATAACAAGCTATGAAATGTCAGAGCTTGGATGCAAACCAAGTTTTGTTTGTCTACAAATCTGGTCTGTGTTAGTGATGGTCTGCTAATGTGTAACACCAGCTCTCCAGTAGCAAAGGGGAGACTTGCCTTATAGTGTCAGCGTGTTTCCTGTGGTGCAGTTATTCCCACGGAGGCGAAATTTTACCCGAGCTACCAACTGAACTGAACAGAGTCAGACACACAATTCATTCTTGCTTTCACCAGCTGTCTCCCACACATCGCTGCTTCCCTTGCTTCTTAAAATGATATCACATGGGCTCTAGAACTTGGGACAAACTTGTGCCATGTACTGCTTGCTGGCACGGTCCACGGGCCCTTTATCCTCGCATGTCCTTGTTCCTAGAAGGCACTCCTTGAAGCACTTCCGCTGAGTAGTTGCCTTTGCCAGGCATTACCCTAAAGCCTCCACATGCATTCTCTGGCTTTGGATTTTCCCTCGGTCATCTCTGGAGATTGCTGTTGTCTTTCTTAACTCTCCTTAACTCTCTGTTTCAGTGCTTTCATGAAGGTCACATAGAGCGGAAGCCGGTGAGATAAGGGTAGTTTGAGGCTAGCCCTGCGCGTAAAACACTGTCCATCATTAACAGGCAGGAAGGGATTTCTGTCTCAGGGACTAAAGTCATGTGGGTCACGGAAGATGGGATGTACATGAAGTTGAGAATTAGCACACTTTGCTTCATAATTTGGGTTGGTCATGTAAGAAAATACTTAAACTAAATTTTATTTAAAAGATTTGTTTTCATTTTATGTAAAAGGGAAACAAAGAAAATCTTTTGTTTACTGAGTACTTCCTAAGTGCCCACAATATCTGAGGCTGGGTCAGACTGAACCAAGAGCCCCCAGTTTGGTCAAATAAGAGTAAAGGGGATCCTGGGCCCGGCAGCGGTGGCGCAAGTGGTTAGGGTCCTCGCCTTGCACGCCCGGGATCCCATATGGGCGCCGGTTCTATCCCAGCAGCCCCGCTTCCCTTCCAGCTCCCTGCCTGTGGCCCGGGAAAGCAGCAGAGGACGGCCCAAAGCTTTGGGACCCTGCACCCATGCGGGAGACCCGGAAGAGGCTCCTGGCTTTGGATCAGCATAGTATCGGCCGTTGCTCTCACTTGGGGAGTGAATCATCGGATGGAAGATCTTCCTCTCTGTCTCTCCTCTCTGTATATATCCGCCTTTCCAATAAAAAAATAAAAATAAATAAATAAATAAATAAATAAAAAGAGTAAAGGGGATCCAAACTTGAGCCATCACCTCCCAGGTGGGCATCAGTAGGAAGTTTGAATCAGAAACAGAGTGGTCAGTTTGAACCCAGGCACCCCTATATGGGATGCAGTTCTTCCAAGCATGTTCAAATGTCCACCATGATGTCCAGTTTTAAAAAAAACAACTTGTAGATCTTAAAAACATGCACAAAATAATCATTTTCCAGGGAATTGAGAAGCTGTTACTGTGTACATGAATACCTGGAACACGGTCTTCAAGAGTGTGATCCCGTTGTCTTCTGTTTCTTAACATTCTGGGCTAATGCTTTGGTCAGAGTAGACCACTCTCTGAATCCAGATCAACTGGAATATTTTCTGAAGTTCCTTCTGAGGCTTGTCAACCCAGAGTTGACTCTGCATACACGTGGGAGGCACATCGAGCCACAACCTTTACAAAAGCATGCTCACACACTGATACAGGCAAATCATGAACACACTCAGATTAAGACGGATGTTTAGGGAACTAAATCCTCTACATTCTGCCTTAACCCGAAGGAATGTCGAGTCGGAAGAGTGTGGTTCTGTTTCCCCATGGAGTGTGATAAGGTCTGGGACTTGCAAAAGAGCTTAAGTGGTACAACTTGTGTAGGAAGAATTCTTTGGGTGCAGTTAGTATAAACAAAGGGTCCTTGGCATGAACAGGGAATGAAGCAGCTGCAAGAGATTTGCTTAGAGAACTGAAAGATTAAATGTTCTTAAAAAAAAAAGAGAGAGAGAGCGGAAATGCCCTCTGAGGTCTCTAATATTTCCTTTCTCTTTTCTAGCCTTCTAGGATTAAATATCAGTGCTGAGCAAGACCCAAAGAAGCTTCTACTTAAGAATGAACATATCGCCAGTGGTTTCCTTTTAACTCTCTGCATCTAAGCAGGCCTGGGGGTTAAGGCTAAATCACTAGAAATAAATCTAAAAGAGGATGCTGGTAGTACTTTTAACCCCCATGAAAATAGTATCAGAGTTACCAGGAGTAATTGATGCCAAAAGGAATTGCATTTAAATGAAATAATGCGGTGTGTATTCCTGATTCAGTTTGTTTAACATGAAAACCCTTGAGAGCCATTATACAGTGGAATACATTTTTTAAATAGTCTGGCTGTTTCTGATGTTACAGCAGCTACCCACACTTCCAGTTTCTTTAAGACAGTCATGTGAAATTAACTGGATTTTTCCATACTTGCACACAATTCAGCTGGTTACATCTTTACAAACTAATGATAGTGGCTGCAGCATAATTTTCATGTCAAAATGGGGGAAAGGTATGTTAGATAATTTCATCGTAAGATTGTACAACTTCAAAATAGAAACAAAACTGTTATTTTGTTGAAATATAAAGAATTGTCAAAAGAAACAAAACTGTTATTTTGTTGAATTGTCAAAATGAAAATTAAAAACAGCAAATCAGTGTTTACTAGAAAATGTAAAACAATAGACATGTGAATAACACTTAAATACTGTAAAGTAGTGAGAAAATATGTGTCAAATTCATGTATCCTGAGATAGAAAGCTATATAGAATTATTATTAGGTAATCGAAGCACATTGCTCAAGTGATATGTTTAAGTGACAAACTTTTCATTAAAAATATTCCTATAAAATATTATATGCTAGCATATATGTAAGAAAGATATGGAGAAATAATACACTAACGTTTTGACAAAGTTATTACTAAAAATAATTATAGAAAACTTGTATTCTATGCAACATTTCTGTAACCTTTAAATTTGTTAATGATATGCACATGTAAATCTGAAATGAAGATTAAAATGTGAATATGCACACAGCAAATAATGTGAAAAGATATGAAAATTGTATGAAAAGGTACTCGACAGCATTAACATTTTAAAATGCAACTAAAACCACAGTGAGATACCACTATTCATCTAAAATGGATACTTTAAAAAGCTTGTGGAAAAAGAAAAGAATTTTATTTTGGTATAAAAATATTAAAATTTATGTATAGTTTTTTCATAGCATACATTTCTCAGATATTTTGAAAAGTCATCTATAATGTATTTATTTGAAAGGCAGAACAGAAACACATTGAAAAAGAGAAAAATTTTTGCTTCACTATCCAAGTGGCTCCAAAGACTGGGGCTGTGCCAGACTGAAACCAGGAACCACGAGCTTCATCTTGGTCTCCCACTTGGATTACTGGGGCCCAAGCACTTGGGCCATGCTCTGCTGCTTTCCTGGGTGTAATAAAAAGAAGTTGGATCAATAGTGAAACAGCTGGGACTTGAACCAGGGGCCATATGGAATTTTGGAGTTGCAGAGGCTTAAGACGCCATGTCACAACACTGGCCAAAAATTTAAAAATGATGGCAACACCAAATACTGAAGAAGAAGAGGCAGAGAAACCAGATGATTTAATACTGGTAGCAATGTAAAGCAGCTTAGCAACTCTTGAAAATAGGTCGACAGTTCTCTAAAACATTATTATCCAGCAATTCTCTTTGAAAAAAAAATGTTTTCACATAAACACCTATACAAGAATGTATAGATGGTTTTTTCCAGAACCATCCATGCCAGGAAAGTAATGAATGTTTCTTATGTGGAGAACAGATAAACTGATACAGCCATAAAACAGAATACTATTCAGTAATAACCGCAACAAGCTACTTATGCATGACAATACATGGGTGAATTTCAACACATTTTACTAAGGCAAAAGAAACTAGACTCAGGGCCCAACATGTTAGCCTAATGGCTAAATATTCACCTTGCTTGCTCCAGGATCCCACATGGGTGCCAGTTTATGTTCTGGTTGTTCCACTTTCCATCTAGCTCCCTGCTTGTGGCCTAGGAAGGCAGTAGAAGATAGCCCAAGGTCTTAGGACCCTGCACCTGCATGGGAGACCTACAAGAAGCTCCTGGTTCCTGGCTTCAGACTGATTTAGCTTCAATCATGGTGGCCACTTGGGGAGTAAGCCAGTGGGCAGAATATCTTTCTGTATCTCCTTCTCTCTGTAAATCTGCCTTTCTAATAAAATAAATAAATGAATAAATAACCTAGACTCAAAAGGCTAGCTTTATTCCTTCATATAGCATTGTGGCAAAGACACTGCTAGAAGGTTAGTGGTAGCCAGAGGTGAGGAGTGGGATGAGGAAAGTGGGGGCACGGGGGTCTCGGGGAGGGGACAGGATCTGCTCTGTAACTGTGGTGGTTCAATATTTCTAAGCACCTGTGGAAACTTCAGAACTGTATATTCAAAAAAGTGAGTTTTACTGCATGTTAATGTAAAAAAAAAATCAAAATATGCAACTATAAAAGATCTAATTGCTATTTCATGTTAAAAATTAGCTTAAGCTCCTTATGCCACCATGTTGGTCTCAGTCTTGCACATTTTCTAGGTATAGTCAAAAGAAACAGCTTCTAGGTGGATGGAAAGAGTTGCCCAGTGTAAATTTGCCATTGTTTCTCACTACTTGAAAGATGAGCTAGGACCCACAGCTTGAAAATGGTAGAAATGCAAAGCAGTGTGCAGTGGTGCCTACACTCAGTCACCAAGGCCTGCACAGCGTGGCCATGGACACCACGTAACTGCACCCCTTCTCCCAATTCCATCAGTCAGTCAGATACTTAGCTGACTTGATTGTGTTTGTATTGAGTTCTTCAAGTTCCTTCCCCCTTTCCTTCAAAATGATGAATAAAAATGACACTTGGGAAGCAAAGCAAAGTTCTCTCTGCTGTGACAACTTTGTGGACCCAACTCTGCCCATGACACCTGCCAAGGGTCACAAATGTGAACTACTTAGGTGGTGCCATGGTTTTGCACAAGATCTGGTTTCCAAATGCAAGCAGGTGGTGATTTCCCCCAGGTAATAAATTAATGATGTTAACAGGAAGAAAATATAATCCAATCATAGAATCTAGGGGTTAGACTCTGGTGGGAGGCCCATGCTCTTAGAAGGTGATTTTCATGAGTAGCCTGGGATGTCCTCTCTTCTAAGAAGACTCACCTTGTGATCTTTTGTCCTCCCAGGCTTCTACAATCCCCGCTCATCAGGTGGCTCAGCCTCCAGAGTCTGCCGATCTCAGTCTGAAAACCGCCAGAATGGTAAGTAGCATCAACCCTCTCTGATTAACTCCCAGGCATCTCACAGTAACAGTTGGGCAGCATCAGCTCTTGAGTTGCCAGTAACACAGTTATGGACAAAAATAAAAGTACTGTTTCCAATTATGTTTTTTTCTTTTAAATGTGTCTGTGTTGTGTGGAGGGACATGAAAACCAAAATGAAACAAACGCAGGAGAAGGAGGAGGAGAACGGGGAAAAATTCAAAAATAACAATACAGCAAAATCTGCAGGGCTCGAGACTGGAAGGCCAAGTGTTGTTGTTGTTGCTGCTGCTGTTTGGTGTGTGTGTGTGTGTGTGTGTGTGTGTGTGTGTGTGTGTGTGTGTTACATCTACTTTTCCAGCTCAGGCTTAAAAAAGGAAGAAGTCAACCCTTATTCCCATGGCTAACTAATGATTCAGGCCCAACAAATTTGGGGATGTAAATAGAATGGTCTGAGCAGACTGCTCAGTGTAAATAAGTCTCAGAACGTCAGCCTGAGTAATGGTCATGGCACCCCAGATGTTCCTCATGAAGAAACTGCTTTATAGGGCAGCACGCCCAAGGGGCTCAGCTAATGGACGTGCCCTGTGGGTGGTGGTATTCCCCTGCCCTGTAGTGGGGCCCTTCTCCCTCCTGCCAGAGAAGCACATTGGGAAGCTTGCTCTCTGTGATGCACTCCTGTCTGCTACTCTTGAGTGTGGCTGCCAGACGCCTCCAGTAGGAACTAAAAGCAGGGTTTTTCTGTCCCTACTCTGGAGGGGCTGCCCGCACATCAAGTGAGCAAGGGTCTATGTTGCCGTTTCTGTGTCCCTGGAAGAAGGGGCTGTGTTCTCATCCTTCTTTGTCCTTGGCTTAGTGAGAGCACAAGGCATGGGAATTGACTCCCCGATTATGAGTTGGAAAACCTGGAAATCGGGTTCCGTTCCTGTTGGTGCTATGATGTCTTCTCAAGTGACTGTATCTTTGTGAGTTGGAGATTTGTCATTCAAAAATGGGGTGGGAGGATGCCTCCAAGGCAGGAAATGTCTGCATCCCAATTAAATGATATTCTGAGTGGAGCCCAAGATTCCTCCTGGCAGTCCTTGAAAGTGGGAGTGCAAAAACCAAGAATGGAAGCAGCTCAGACCAGGCCAGGTTACAGTACCTACCGGCATCCCTGGCGGTCAGGTCTAGTAGCAGGCCAGGCTAGGCCAATTCAGTAGCATCTACTGGAAGTTGTAAAAACCAGGACAAGTTCAGGACAGGACAGCCTGGGGCACAACACCAGCCAGTTCACATTAGGGACAGGGCTTGGGGCTGGCTGGGCTGGGCTGGGCTGTAGCCCCCACCAGCATAAGCTGGATCAGGGGGCAGGCTGGGATGTGCCAGGCTACAGCATTCGCCAGCAAATGCTAAGGTGGGGTGGGCCTGAAAGACTGGACCACAGCTCCCACCAGTACATTTAATCCCCGGGAAAATGGGGAGGGTGTGAACTAGGTAGGAGGGCAGCGCAGGCCACCCTGCTGGGCCACTGCTCCCATTGGTGAGCATGAGAACTGGAACTGGGGGCAGACCAGACTAGGCAGAGCTACAATACCTGTTGGCCTGTATGTGAGCTGGTTAAGGGGGAGAGCCAGGCTGGGCTAAGCAATCATATCCACTCGTGCAGATACGAGCCAGAGTGCTGGGCACTCTGGCTAGCAAGTGCTGGGAATGGGGGCAAGACCTGTGAATCTAGACTGCAGAATCACCTGGAAAGTTCAAGATTTGGGACTGGGAGTGAGCCTAATAGGGAAATTGTGCACCTCTCTGATGGACTACAGCGCCCACCAGTGAGCATGAGAATCAGTGCTGTACCTAGCTGGACAGGTGGTAGCACCCAGCTGCGTAAGTGTGGGATGAAAAGCAGAGTCATTTGGGCTGAGCTGGGCTACAGCACCCTTTGGATATATACAAAAACCCAATAGGATGTGGGCTAGATCGGACTAGTCTGCTGCACATACTGACATGCACAGGAACCAAGGCTAGGATGGGTCTAGTGAGGTTTATAGAGTGTCTTTCTGCTTAGGCTACAGTTCCCACTGGTGTACGTGAGAGCCAAGTGTGTGGTGGGCAGGGTTAGGCTGGGCCACAGCATCCACTGGTTTGCATAAGAGATGGGGCTGGGGACAGAACAGACCAGGTGCCTGCAGCTGCCAGTGTGTGTGTGTGTAAGCCAATGTGGGTAACAGAGTGAGCTGGACCTCACACTGACTGGCATACTCAAGAGTCAGGTCTGGGATCGCCTCAGACAATGTTTCTTTGGGGACCCTCCCAACTGGATCATTGGACTGAAAAGAAATCCAACCATGGGAAAAATCACAGGGTCTGTGGTCTGAGCATAGAGTGCATGAGTCAGAACTGGGCCTCCTCAGTTACTAAGACTGTGCAGTGGATGGCATGCCCAGATGCACAGGGGGACATGACAACCAGTTCACTGATGGTGTCTAATACCATGGAGGGCAGAGCAAACTGGACAACTCTCCCAGCAAAGCATTGACAGTAAGTATCTAGGTGAATGAAAACTCTAAGTTGGACTAGCTCAGCCAATGGACATTGGAAGGCTTTGCTCAAATTTGGAACAATGAAGTCAACAGCATTCCAGAACTATTGAAACCACTTGAGCAGTTGCCCTCAGAGAATATTCCACATTGGGGACCCTGGGATAGCTTTGGGTGGCAGTCCCCCATTCCTGGGTGCTGATGCAGTTGGGATACTGGGTGTGGCTTCTCCCCTTCTCTTCCCCTTTTCCCCCAGACACAAGAAGAAAAAGAAAATTGGAAACAGTGGTCTCATTCACTTTCCCCTATTCCTCAACCCTTCCCACCTTAATTAGTAGTCCGCATGGGCATGCATCCTTCTCAACTATATAAGCATCATCAAAAGTAAAATTAATAAGTTTAAAAATAGTTTTAAAATTCTGGGTTATACATGAGAAACTGTCCCTGTTTGTCAGCACATTATTGATTCACTGTGCAGAATGAAAGTCAATGGGGTGGCCGAGGAAGACTAATGATATTAGGAAAGGATAATTTAGAAGCATAGATTTTTACCTGGAGTTGGAAGGCATATGGTGTAATGGTGTTGAGGACTTGTGCTTGTGAGTCAGCCCAACAGGTTCAAACCTCAGCACCACCAAGCAGCTGTAAGCCTCAGCTTGCAGATATAAAAGGGGAATAATATTCTCCTCTAAGAGTTTCTAGGAGAATTAGATTAAATGAAATCATACATGCATATGTGGACCATGAAACATGTGGTAGTGTTGGGTATTGCTTGTAGGACTGGTACCACTAGTACTACTGTTACAACACCTACTACTAGCACAGGTAAGGTAGGTGAACAATCCACCCAGAACCCCACCTAGCCATGGATGATGCCAAGAAAGGGCTGGCTGCAGTGGAGAGACTGAGGCACCACACCTGGCGCCCGAGGTTCAGGGCTTTGGTATGGGACCTAACAGGGGGACGGTGTGTGCCCTCCAACAACATTCCACAGTGCAGATACCATCACACACTGCCACTTACTAGTGGGACACTTTGAGCATCTCCTACCAATTGTGTGCGGGCACTAATGTTTTACTCTCAAGGATACTGGAACGAGATACAGGAGAGAGTACGTGTGAAACTGGATTACAAACCAAAAGCTCCTCTCTGCGTGAGGATTGTCATGCGCTACCCCGATTAGGAACTAAAACCTGTAACAGCAGGCTTTTTCAAAGAGGACAGCTGTTTCTCTGATGTGCTGAAACACTTTGCTTGCTTTTTAAAAAAAAATTAATAATAATTAGGAGTTATCTACAGGTACTGGGAAATGCAGTGTCCCCATCTGTGGGGATTTACTGTTTTAGCTTGCTTTTATATATGAGATAATTCTAAAAGATCATGGAGAATGGCAAGCAAAGGTTAGAGGTGGAGTTTAGCCAAGTGGATAGGATGCTAGTTAAGCTGCTCACATCTCACCTGAGAGCACATGAACTTGCTCCCCACCTCTGTCTCCCACCCAGCTTCCTCCTAATACAGATACCCTTCGTGATGGCTTTCCCTGACATCCCCGTAGGGTTGAATTTCTGGCTCTGGGACTAAGAAAGGCCCAATCCTGCCTTTCTTAGGGATTTCTAGGGAGTGAATCTATAGATAAGAACTCTTTCAGTCAACTTATATGTGTATATAATATATGCAAGATATATGTATATGTTATATGTTATATATTATATGTATATTCACACAGCACATATGCACCAGAATAGGCATATTTATACACACATATGTATATATATATATGTATATACACAGGTATGTGTGTATGCCTATTTTAGTGCCAAAAATTTGAAATCCGTACATTTAAGGCATCCTCAAAAAAGCTTATAAAATACACATTATGAAGAAAAATTTTCACTCGGCTTTTCCACAAACTCTTTGAAGTCGCATCGTGTGTAGTGTCTTTCCCTTCCCACAATCTGAGAGGTGCAGTGGCTTTGTGTCCCTGTCCTGACTTTGGTTGCTAGTCTAGGGTTTTAGTTCTTCCTTTATATCCACTGTAGTTTGGCCTCCACTCCCCCTTTTCTTTGCTTGTCCCAAGTAGTTATTATTGGAAGCAGATGTAAGACTAATATTAAACACTCTTTGAATGCTAGGTCAAGGGGCACCCTTGAGCAAAGAAGGGACATGTTGAGTCATTTTAGAACACTTAATTGGCAGCAGTTGCCTTTTCACAGAATGGAGTTGGTGGCCTGGAGTCGGGTTGCATGACACAATGAGATGGATGCATGGCCCAGGGAAGGCAAAGGTGGGAAGACCTGTAACTGTGTGAGAGAGGCAAGGGTCATTACAGGATGTAAATCTAGGAGTTTCATTAGTTTCTTATTAATTGAACTTCTGCCACATGCCAGATATTGTACAAGGGGCTAGAACTACATCGGTGAGTCAAACAGACAAAATATTGAGTTGTACAAGGGTGCCTTAACCAGGAGAGAAAAATGCAAA